ATTAAAACTCTTGCTTAAGTTGTGGGTTTTACTTATTGTGTCCAGCAATGGTAAACTTTAGGAACACCTGGTATAACATGGAATTTAAAGAAAGAACATTGAAAAGGAAATTGTTGGATATCATATTTGAGAGCAATTTCCCTGGTGTTTTAAGTCCATAGGCATGTTTGCAGTTCTTGTTTGGGGATGTAGCTCAGTGGTAAAGCAACTTGTCTAGCCAGCATAATGCAATCCTCTGTACAAATAAAGAAAATAATTTCATTTTTGGTAGTGAGGGAAATAGACCTGAAGAAAACTCACTTTTATGCAAAAAAACCCTCACATTTTGGAGTCAAGAAATAATGAATTGGGCATAAAGTTGAAATGACAGGTTCAATGTAGGGTACATACATCCATATAAGTGGATATAAATCCACAGGAAATAAAAACAGTAGGACTAAATGACTATCTATATGTGGGAAAAGTAGCTTAAAATAGGAAGATATGGTTCTCATGTTAGTAATCTGGATGACTGAGTTCTGGAGATATAAGGAAATACAGAGAAGGAGGAGTAAGAAGAGGGAGGATGAAGAAGGTTTCCCCATGGATGAACTTGGCTTCAAGATGTTCATGGAAAATATAGTCAAGGTCTTGGGGGAACACTGGTAGGCTAAAAATAAATTTTGAGATGTATTAACTATATAGTGGATAGTAAAAATCACAAAAATACTAAGAAAGTAAGAAAAAAAACTTTAAAACAGGAGGATGAAAAGTACAACTGCAGGAAAAATCAGTTTGTAATATTACATTAGAAAATAAAATCCACAGAATATAAATAGGAAATGTATTACTGTAAGAAAAAGTAGGGAAGCAAAAGTGAGGAACAAAAAACCTTTTCAATAAATGAGGCCAGAAGATTATATCCATATGCAAAAGAAAAAAAGGGAATTTGGGTCCCTACATTGCAAGCATGCAAAATTTGTCTAAGAGGATCGCGGGTGTATTTTAAGCTGAGACTCAAGAAATCATTTGGAAAAACTAGAGCAGAAATCTTCATGACATTGGGTAAGTGAAAGCCTCAGAAAAGTAAGATAATGATAAGGAAAATATTAGATATATTTGCATGAAAATTAAAAGTGTGCTGCAAATTACACCATATAGTAAAGAGACATCCAGTAAATTGGAAAACATGTTCAGTGATATACAGTGGTACCTGCCTTTGCCAGAGGGTCAACATTGATCCTAACCATTGAATTTGACTGGCTTCTCATCCAAATTGGCTTGTGTCCAGAATCATGGAAAGAATTAAGTTCGTGAACCGAGGTACCACTGTATATCAAAAAGGAAATTGCACTCAAATATCTATAGAGCTCTTAAAATTTAAAAATAAAGCAAATCAATTATAATAAGTAAATAATTTAAATAGGTATATCCTTCAATATATGTATGAATTGCCAATAGGCACATGAAACGGTGTCCTATATAATTAATGAAGGCAAATTAAAACTATGAAGAAAAATGATTTGATTAATCTTGTGTTCTTACATCTGGTAATCTGAGCAACTTCACCAAAGATAACAATATGTAGAATAACAACCACTGTTAATTCCTATCATTTTGTTTTGAAATCCTGTATCATTTTTAACGTTTTTGCTTTGCTTTGTTTTTATCTGGGATATGCGTATTTTGCTATTGTTCTTCTTTTTTTTTACTATTCTCTTTAAAATAAAATTGAAAAAGAAAACTACAAAGGAAAGTAGTTCATACAAACCTGTACTAAAAATGCTAATAAAATACGGAAAACATTTAAGTGTTCTCAAAGAGTTAGAGAAATTGAGACCTTCATATGTCAATTGAAGGAATGCCAAAAAATGCAACTTTTGGAAAAGAGATCTGAAGTTTCATGTGACCCATAGATATACCCAAGTGTTTACACAGAAGCATTTATGAATATTCACAGTAGTGTTAGGCATAATAGCCAAAAGAAAACTCCAATACCTTTCATTAATGAAAAGTCAACTGGGGCTGGGGATTTAGCTCGGCGGCAAAAGCGCCTGCCTGGCAAGCGCAAGGTCGTGAGTTCGGTTCCCGGTACCGGAGAAAAACCAAAACCAAAAACAAAATAAATAAATAAATAAAAGTCAACTATGATACATGTATATAATGAAAAATTACTCAGCAAAAAAGGGAGTATTGATAGATATCATGATATAAGTGAGCCATAGAAAAAATGTATAAAAGAAACTAATCACATGAGACCACATACAGTATTAATCAATTTCCATGAAATTTCAAGAATCCTGTGAATTGAGAGACAGAAATTGGAACAGTGCTTTGCAAAAGTTGGGAGTAATGCTAAGGGGAGGAGGGATGAGGGATTCCTAAAGAGTAAGAGCTTTCTTTCGGGAAAACAGCTTATTCTGAAATTATATAGTAGGGGTGATTTTGTAAGCTTCCAAATATATTTTAAAATACTGATCTGTGCACTGTAAAATGAGAGGCTTCTGCTATTATTTGAATGACATATCAAAAGTTGTTTCACAATGTAGACCCCGCCTCCCAGACCTTGGGCTTCATGAAGGGTCAGTGTTACTGCATGGGCTTTCACGCTGTTCTTTACCAGGCTGTGATAGAGTTCTTCTGAAGGAGATTGCTGAGCCTACGAGGGACTCAGCATAGAACAAGAAGTTTCAGGGGCTGGGGATTTAGCTCAGCGGCAAAAGTGCCTGCATGGCAAGCGCAGGTTGTGAGTTCGGTTCCCGGTACGGGAGAAAAACCAAAAAAAAAAAACAAAAACAAAAAAAGTTTCAGGCAAGTGAGTCTGGCATCTGCATTACTGCATTGTTTAAATTCGCATATCAACCCTCTGAAGCCATAAAATCAATTTTGGGATTTAGTTTTCTTGACAGTGTGGGCAGAATGTCACAGATGATGGAGACTCACAATCCTGCCAATTCCCCAGGATGAAAAGGCTTCTGCTATAAAACGCATCTATACTTGAATTCCGAACAACATTTCAATCTTCTAAATATGCAGTAGTTTCCAAAATCTCACTTAGGCTTGCCTTAGAAGATGTGCACGCTGATGCACCAGTCTCTTTTCCAGGTAGAGAATTGTCCCTTTGTTTGCAGAAAATTGACAAAGGCCACCATTCCTTGTGGCTCTTTGTAGCTGTCTAATCCAGAGGCACAACAGAGCTCTGAGACACAGTCTGAACAAAGTTCACTCTGGCAGTTTCCTTTTTTGGTTGCCAAAGTAAAGTTATTGGGCTGCTGTTTTGTATTGTATGTTCAGTTAAACATAGTAAACTTTAGGTTGGGGAAAGTCTTTTCTCACAGAGGTGTAAAACTTTTTTTTTTTCCCTCAAAAAGGTACATATTTTCGGCCAGGGATAAAGCTCAGTGGCATAAGTGCCTGCCTGGCAAGCATAAAGTCCTGAGTTTGATTCTCGGTACCAAAGAAAAAAGGTACTTATTTTGTTAAAGGATGAAAACGCAACTAAATACCTATTCTACTGTATAAATTACTGAATGACCCTGAGCAAGTTGCTTGATCACTTTGAGTTTGTCAATTTAAATGCCGAAGAGGAAAGTACTAGACATGACTGCCACTTCTGGTTCCTATGATTACAGCATAATAATAAATGCAAACTTATGTAAACAGAGTTGTGTTCTATGCACAATTATTATTTCATAATTTACTTATCCTTATTAATATGTCTTTGTTGAGTACACAATTTAAACCATCACCTTAAAAATGGACAGGAAACCAAGGGTTTGAAAATGCCTCCAGGATCAAATCACAGCATTTGTTTTCCATGGAGTCTGAGTTCTGTGTCAGAGAAGAGCAGGTGCAATTTTTCTTGTAAACTTCTCCACAAGTCACAGGTGAGTCATGTGTGTGTCTACTCCTATCTGCTGTGGCTTTTACTACTCCCACTGAGACCAATAATCACTGCAAAAGTTATTATTTATACGTCATATTGATTTGGGTTTTTTTAAAGAAATCTCTTCTGCATCAATGTCTTACACTTCCATCACCTTAAACACAGAAATGAAACAAAAACAATGAATTAGATGGTTCTTTTCAAATCCATCCTTTCAAAAATAATGCGATATAGCGCATTTTACTACAACAATCTTAAAGCAATTAGATCAAAAGGGATGCTTGACCTAAACTTCACTGCAAATGGCTTGATTATGATTTTTAAAAATAGAAGTGAAACTGAAGCGTCGGGAGAGGAAATTGGGGACAGCTGCTGCCCTTTGCCCGGGTACACAGCCAGCATTACTGAAGAACAACTCTGTGTGAAGGCTGGGCTAGAAAACCTAGGTGAGCTAGGTCAGATGTTCAAGGCAGCAACACGGTTTACTTAAGACTGAGGGGAACCAGCTCTTTTTGTCAAAGATCCAGCTCAGAGCTTGAAGATCCTCACTTTCCTCACACCTATGATAATGACAATATTAACTTCCATTTTCTAAGAACGCTTACGCAAGTACTGTAAGAAGTAGCACTCTATACCGTGCCTTACGCAGGCTACTGCGCTGAGATCCATACCTATGTAAACACAGCGCGTCGGGAAGATTCCCGAGTTGAACCTTCTCACATGAACGCCAAGAGGCCGTTTCCTACAATTGCTTTTGCAAAATGGCATTTCACATTCGGGTTGCGCTATTTCGGCTTTGCTAATTCGCATTTTCTCAGTGAAGCCTATCACACACTGGATGCTCATCCTGAAACATTCAGAAACTACGAAAAGCGAAGGGCACCTCGGGGCCGCCTCGCCCCCCTCCTCAGCGCCCGGCGCGCCCCGCTCCCCTTGGATGCTTTTCCGGGACCCTCCCGCTGCGCCTCACCTGCGGACCAGGACTCTCAGGTGCACAACTTGGGTCTCCCGCTCCAAGCTCATTGGCCAGGGCTGCGGAATCAGAGCTGACGCTCAGAAACCCAGACGCCCGAGCTCCTCGCGCTGGGACAGCTCTCGGTGGCCGGTGTCTCCTGCCGGTCCCCGGCACCGGTGCGGACGATGTTCCGCTCTCGCGCTCGGCGCCACGCGGCCCGGCATCGGCGTGCATCCGGCGCGAGGTGCCCCTGCCCGAGTCTCTGAGCTCCCCGCGGGGTGCAGCGCCCCGGCCCCAGAGCGGTGACCGCCGCGTCCCGG